AAAATACGGGAATTAAAGCTAGCGGTTCGTTTTTAAAAGCATTTATTAAAATCATATGTACACTATTCATTTTTGTAAATTAACAATAACATTAAATGGAGAACAAAAATAGTTTACAACTGAAATCATATGACGAGCTATTTATGAATAAAATAATTTTCATACAATTCTTTGATTGGTTGACGGTTTACTGAAAATATAAAAAAATATGCATTGTTAATATGCATTCAGTGTAATTCTAGGACCGTTTATGCTAAAATCAAATGATTCAAATCAAGTCCAATATAGAACGAAGAGGAGGCTGACTGATTGAAAGTATATTGGTGACAAAGCTGCAATCTCAGGCACCTTTCCATCTCAGGCCTTTTTCAGTGTAATAATGGGGCTGCCTTCGACACTTTTATAATATATAGTTTACGGCTTATATAAATTTCAAGGTGGAACTTAAGATAACTTGGGAGAGGGTGGAAGTTACTAGTCCAATACAGACTTACTACCATTAGTAAAATAGCATTGTTTCTGTCTTGCCATGCTTACCTTAAAATTAAATCAATTCGCTATAGACTGCATTGTAAATTGAGGTGGTAATACACCTCAGTGTTCTCTCCATAATTACTACCCTACAAAGAGAACCAGGGAGTATGTTAAAACAAAGTAAAAACCACAAGTCAACAATGTACATTCTCTTACCATCTTATAAACCGGCTTCCTTCGGGAAAGTTCTACATGACAGAAATATCAAATTTAGATAAAAATTAAGCTTTTTGCTGCAGCGCTAGCAGACAGTTCAATATCATAGAGAATATGAAAGTGTGCATGTCGCAGTTATCTTCTTCGGCAGCGACGTGCAATTCACCGCGTACGTGTGAAAGTAGATTGCATGCCTGCGACAAGAAACGCCTTTCATTTTGTGTTTAACACAGCTAAATTTCTGGTAAAATTCTATCAACTTTTCAAGCATTTAATTACTTACGTTGTCGAATATAATCAAGTCTCTATTGAGGTAAAAATTTAGTTCCCTCCAAAAAAAGTAGATCTGGTTGTCCTGTACATGTAACTATATAAATGGAAAGATTATAAAAATTCCTTAATTAGTGA